AATTTAAATTATCAGTTAACTCGGCTTCGGATTATTCGAAATTTTAATATGTAACACTAGTCACCTTGGAAATGATTTCATACTGTGTTTGTTATACTTACAATGGTTGCTTTCCATTGTAATCTGTTGTTTTCTCGATTGGGCAATGCTGTTTAACTGTTCTGATATATTCAGTAATTTGATGAAGTGGTGGTACGGCTGGTGTAGGCCAGGAAGGTCTTGCAGTCATAGCTGGCACAGCATTAGTGTTTCTCCTATCCTGTGTTTCATTGTGAATTGTAGTTGAGGTTAGAATTATTCAGCAGATCAAAGGGAAGTGTAAGTGTTTGATATTTGCATTTGCTAATGCAGTTTTTAGACGTCAATCTAGATTCAATTATATTTTTACCAACGTAATCCCACTCTTGATATCAGTGCTGAAACTGTTTATATTGTTGGGCGGGTTATTCTGGATTATTTAGTAAAAAGAAAAGTACAAAGTTCAGTCCACTTAATTTTATTTTTGCGACTTCATTTGTACAACACTTTCGCGTACCTCTAGTAATTCGTTGAAATACTCACAAAAACTGAAGTAACAACCAAATAGACTACAAACTAACTAACTCAACAATGAACAATTGTTTAGTCTAGTATAACTCGCGTTTTATATATCTCAAATAGTTTCTTTTATAGTTTAGAAGATTGTCGTTAAGCCACGCTTGTTACGTGACGTGAAAATTCCCCCTATACAAACAGTACAAACGTTTAACTTAAAAATATAGCCAATAGTTTGTTTGTTTTGAATCTCGCGAAAGCTACTTGAGGCTAACTGCGCTAGCCATTCCTAATTTAGCAGTGATAGACTAGAGGGAAGTCAACTGATCAATATCACCCACCGCCAACTCTTGGGCTACTTTTTTGCCACCGAATATTTGAATTGAGTGTCACGTTACTGGTGCCTTCATGGCTGAAAGGGCGAACTGGAGACTAGTTTGTATAATTGTTTTACTTTACTGTTTAGCAATGTATCTTAGGCTCTAGAATAAAACAAAGCAACTTTAATTTTTGTTTGTTTGTAGTTAAACACAGAGCTACACAATGGGTTCTCTGTGCTGTGCCCACCACGGGTATCAAAACCTGGTTTTTAGCATTATAAGTCCGCAGACTTACCGCTGTGACACTGGGGCAAACTTTCTTTTATATTCAATTTTGTTTTGTACTTTTTTTTTCTAATGTGATAAAAATCTCAACCTTTTCACAAACTAAGTATCTGGACCATCATTTTTTGCTGCTTGATAATATTTGTTGATCTGTAGAGAGAATGTTTCTTCCCGGGTATCTTTTATAGCGTATCTCGAGCGCAAAGAGAAGCGGTTGAGATTTTGTGGAGAAATACGTCTTTTACTGCCTTGCATTGATTGGTGCTGATGAAAGTACTTCACATCTGAAAATGGTCATATTTTATGAATTGACGATGTTGATGAAACGAGAACTCAATTTTGAAGTGAATAAATATTTTAATAATAATATCTTTTCAGTCACATTGTGCTACTATATTAAGAGTAAAAAACACAAAAACCGACTTTTTTGGTACTAGTTTTTTTACTAGTTTCAGT